AGGGAATGTCAGAGCTGGGAGGGCCTTAGAACAGAGGATGTCAGAGCTGGACCAATGGTCTCATTTGACAAGCATTGAGGGCTTAACAGTTCCCTCTCCCCATATTCATTACGTTCCATAAAACTCTCCTCCCAGATCATAAAAATGGGAAAAGGACCCACATGTACAAAAATATTTTATAGCAGCTCTTTTTGTGGTGGCAAAGAATTGGAAATTGAGGGGATGCCCATCAATTGGGGAATGGCTGAGCAAGTTGTGGTATATGAACGTAATGGAATACTATTGTGCTATAAGAAATGATGAACAGGCTGACTTCAGAAAAATCTGGAAAGTCTGGTATGAACTGATGCTGAGTGAAGTGAGCAGAACCAGCAGAACGTTGTACACAGTAACAGCCATATTGTGCCATGACTAACATTGATAGACTTAGTCCTTCTCAGCAGTGCAAGGATCTAAGACATCTCCAAAGCCTCATGATGGAAAATGCTATCCACACCCAGAGAAAGAACTGTGGAGTCTGAATGCAGATCGAAGCAGACTATTTTTCCTTTTTGTTTGTTTGTTTGTTTCCTTTCTTGTGGTTTTTCCCTTTGGTTCTAATTCTTTACAACATGACTAATGTGGAAATATGTTTAAAATGATTGTACATGTATGGTCCATATCAGATTGCACACCATCTTGGGGAGGGGAGAGGGAGAGGGTAAGGAGGGGGAGAAAACCTAAAACTCAAAATCTTGTAAAAGTAAATGTTGAAAACCAAAAATAAATAAATAAATAATTGGAAAAACAAAACAAAACAAAACTGTGCTCCCACAAGAAAGCCCACTGCCTGAAAACTCTTTTTCCATACGGAGGGGTGACCAAGAGCAGGAAATGATCCAGCATTTGGGTGGGAGCTACAACATCCTAATAATCTGGAACCATTTCTATCCCATCTTTGAGTCCTTCAGAACCTGGGTTCCAAAAGCATTGCTCCCAACCAGCTCTGGGAAGGCGTGGCGGGCTCAGGTGTTGGAGGCCGGGCCTGCTGATAAATGACAGTCTCTTGCTGCTTAATGGTCAGTGACCCCTGCACTGTCTGCTTTCCCAGGCACAGGCCACTCTGTTCCTATACTACCTCATTTGTGACCTTGGATACTCTCCTAATGTGTGTGCAGCTTACAGAGCTCCCCGATGGACAGTCTTAGCCTTGGGTTAAAAAAAAAAAATCAACTTCTTAAGTACAAGAGGTGGGGCATACGGGCTAAACAACATTTTATGAAGAAGATCTTGAGGTCTTAGTGAACTTCAAGCTCAGTGTGAGTCAACTGTGACAGGGAAGCCAAAATCAGGACCTTAGATGGCATTGAGAGGTGACGTGTCCAGGAAGGGGAAGCAGGTGGTCCCACCACAAGCTTTAGAAAATTGGGAGAAATACCTAGTAGCTGTACAGAATTCGGAGCTCCCCAAGAGTCAGAGGGATAACCAGGAAAGTGCTGCAATCTTGAGCTAAATTCTGACTTTTGAGATATATGGGTTAGTCGAGCTGGATTTCCCCCTCATAACAAAGAAGTAAAAAGAGGGGGAAAAAAATCCAGTTCAACTAATCAACCCGTCCAAAAGCTGGAATTTAGCTGCATTTCACACCCTGGTCGTCCCTGTTCTCCCAAGAAGGCAGAGGGGGCCTTTTTATCTCACTGCTCTGGGGCCGGCATTCATTTTCAGGGCCTCTGCTATTGCAGAGGAAAGACCACTCCCATCATCTCCATCATTCTGTATTCTAGCTTAGCTTAACTTCACCACCTATCCACCTGTCTCAGCCACACTTATTATATTTGTTATTTCTATTACAGTAAAGTCAGGTTAAGTATATCGATGCTCGTAGAGCCTTTATCAACAACCTCCTCAGGTCTTAGGCCCAACAGAGGGTCGAAGAGTCCAGACGTTGTGGTCACTCTTTTCACAAACGGCTTCCCAGAATGGTTCTGACCTATTCTCAGCTCCACCAACAATGCATCGGCTTGCCTGTCTTTGCACGGCCCTTCCCATGCGCTCTTGCCATCTTCTGCCATCTTGGCTAATGTGCCGGGTGTGAGGAGACCCTTAGAGCTGCTTTGATTTATACCTCTCTTAGCCATTACTGATGTGATGGCTAATGGAAAGGTTTGCTCCTGTGCTCTGACCGGTTATCTATTTGAGAATGGCTTTTGGTTTTATACATGAGTAACCTGGGTGCTCTATGAGAGAGATCTCTGGGGGCTGGGGCAGTCAGGGAGGGCTTCCTGGAAGAGATGTCTTTAGCTGGGCCTTTCAGGAGGATGAGGAGCTCAGTAGGAGATCCACAGAGCATGGCAGTCAGGAAGGCCAGCAGCTGGGTGACAACGAATGAAAGACCAAGATGCCCTCCCACCCCAACCCCCCAGGGGAGGTGGCGAAAAACTAGATGAGGGCCAGGCCAGCCAAGTCCTTGAATGCCAGGCTGAGAGTAGATGGTGGAGGTGTAAGGAGGCAGGGAGCAGGGCTCCCTCCCTGGCCGCCCTAGAGACAGCTGGTTGTGAAAGAGAGCAGAGAGCTGGGTTTGGAGTTAGGAAGGTCTGAGTTCGAATCCTCTGCAGACACTTAATAGCTGTGTGTCTCTGGGGAAGTTACTTCGCTGCTGTCTGCCTCAGTTTCCTCATCTGTAGAATGAAAATAATGATAACATCTGCTACCCAGGGTTGTTTGAGGATGAGATACTATTTGTAAAGAGCTAAGCACAGTGCCTGGCACATAGTAAGAGCTTCATAAATGTTTGTTCCCTCCTCAGAATATGGTTTCTTCCTCCGCTCACCCCCCCGTCTGGTGTCAGATGGTCTCGTCCTCCCCAGTCTTTGGTGGTTTACTCTCAGGGTCAGGCTCTCGACTTCCCCTCGCCCTCGTGAATGGTCTCGCCCTCCTCCCCTACGCCCGGTGTGGAATGGTCTGGTCCTCCAGCTCAGGGCTGAAGTCCCCAGAGCCGCGTGGGCGCCCTGAGCCGGATCCAGGAGGTGAGCCAGACGCACCCATCGCGCCCCGCCGCAGGGGGGGACGGCGGCTCCGTCCCTCCCCCGGCGCAATGGGCACGCCTAGCCCGAGTCGCAGGGCGGGGCAGCCCATTGTTCCGGGCGGGCGGGGGGGGGTTGGAGGGGCCGGACCATTGTCTTGGGCGGCGGGCGGGACCATCGCGCCCGGCGCGGAGGGGGGGGGAGCGCGGTGCGTGCTGCGAGAGGAGCGGAGCGGAGCGGAGAGGAGGAGTCCGGGGCCCGGGCTGACCTCGGAATCGCCGCAGGAGCTGGAACGGCCGAACCGCCGCCACGATGAGCGGAGACCACAACCCGGCCAGCACCCCGACCCCGGTCCAGGACGTGCAGGGCGACGGGCGCTGGATGTCCCTGGTGAGGGTCCCCGGGCCTGCCGGGGTGGGTGGGGCCCCGAGGGGCGGGGCCAAAGGAATCTGCTCCCCACCTCCTCACCCCTCCCCTGCCCCGCCCGGCACCCCGCCGTACCCATTTGACAGGTGGGGAAACTGAGGCGAGGAAAGGGGACTTCTCCAGTCTCCCCCCTCCCCCCCGTGTGACCTTGGGCCGGTGATTTTCCCCCTGGGGACCTCGGTTTCCCCTCCGGGCGGAGGAGTGCGGCGCCCAGAGAGGCCAGGGCACTGTCCGAGGTCCCCGCCGGACCCGGTGTCCTGTCCCCTCCGCAGCACCATCGCTTCGTGGCGGACAGCAAGGACAAGGAGCCCGAGGTGGTCTTCATCGGGGATTCCCTGGTGCAGCTGCTGCACCAGTGTGAGGTGAGCTGCCCCGCCCCCACACCGCGGGGGAAACTGAGGCAGCCCCGCTCAGTGCCTTCGGAGGCTCCGAGCCGTAACTGGGGCCGGGTCACGGGGTTTTGTTCTGGGCTATCGACAGTTACTGGGGCCTGACCTATTGGCTGGAACAGAAAGCTTCTCCGCGCCCTCCCCCGTCTGCCCTGGGCTCGGGAGTTACGGTCACTGCCCTAGAGAGGATCCCTTGTTTGGGAGGGAGGGGCCGGGGATGATTTCCTGACGAACCGAGGGGGAGGCGGGGAAGCCCTGCCTGAGTTCTGGGGAGTTCTGGCCAGTGCTGGGGGCTCAGAACCCTTCGTGTGAAATGGAAAGAGGTGGCCCAGAGGCGGGGGCGGGGAGGGAGGCGGCAGGGGGCAGAGCTGGAAGGTGCCCGGGGGCATTGTAGGGAGGGGCCTGAGGGCATTGCTGGGAGGAGGGGGGGGCCCAAAGCTAGGAGAAGCAGAGCTGAGAGGGGGCTGAGGACATGGCTACAAGGGGCCTGGGGGCATTGCTGGGGGGGGGCCC